AAGATAAATAGGATAATACCAACTATCTAAATTAAATAGATATATGTCCAGTAGAAATAAGTACATGAAAAAAGTTACATAGATGGTTCAGGGGATAAGATTCATTATCATCATCCAATAATATTGCTAGAAATACCAAGCATTCAATCTTATTTAGTTAATCCATTTAGTTATAAACTGAAACCTTTCACACAATCAACAACTTTCTTGTTTCTACTTGCTCAACCTTAAAATTTTACGTCAAGGTCACATATCAGCCACTATTTTTCACCAAGTCATCACCATTACGATGTGCATATTTCTTATATTCAGAATTTTGTTATATATTTATTGTCGGGGATGATGTTGAAATCGGATGATGCTGAAATTTTGACTTACTTCATTATGAAAATTAAAATTTTTTTTGGATGTTTTGTTCAGCTTTTTTTTTTATAGTTAGATTAGAATTTAGGGTTAGTGTTTATAATAAAAGAGTATAGGCGGATTTTAGTAGGGTTTATATTTTCAAATTAAGGCTCCAACTTTCAGCATCATCCGATTTCAGTATCATCCCCGACATTTATTATCAATTGCATATTGACGTTGTGCCCGAAGTTGACACCCGGCTGGAGTTGCAACTTCAAGCATCTGAAGTTGCAATTTCGATCGGGTGCAACTTTAGGCACGACACAGTGACTTTTGAAACCCGGTATATAATTAAATAGTAAATATTTATAAACTTGAATTGCTTATATACAGACTAAATTAAATAGTAAGTATTCATAACTTTTTAAATATTTGGGGCGTCGTCAATCAAAACGTACCATAGTGAGATTGAAAAAATTGTTATACAAAATTAATCGTAACATGTTATTTGTAACAACTTACTCAGTATAATAAATTATGTCGGACATTAACATAGATAATTAATCAACGACACTCCATGTTACAATTAATTTTTTATTAACAATTTTTTAATCTCACTATAGTACGTTTTGATTGACGACGCCCCATTTAATAAAATGTTTAATACTTACAGACTAAAATGAAATTGTATTATCTTGTAATTACCGGTATGATCTTTTGGTGATCTTTAGAATATTAGTTTTAAGAAGTCAATAATAAATTAAAAAGCATTAACGTTAAAAAAAAGACAAATTAATTTGCGACTTAATTCAGGCCATGCGCATACATATTTTATCCCATCTACGCAACTTTCTTCATGCACTTATTTCTACTTGACATGTATTTATTTAATTTAGGTAATCGAGTATTTCCTATTTAATCTTAAATGTCAAAAACAATGAATCAAATAAAGTTTCGCTCTAAAATAAGTACGTGAAAGTTATGTTACGTGGATAGCAGGGGATAAATCCGTTAGTTGGATATAAGAAAAATTTTGCATTAAGTATAATTGGCCGCTTACGCGGCTGATTATACTTATTGCAAAATTTCACTCATGCCCAACTGCTAGAATATAACTATTACATACCTTCTGATCCAAAATTACACATTTTGTTAAGGTAATTCTCATTTAAATACAATTATTATAAAACGCACCTATTATATGTTTGATTATGTTTTTTAAAATTTTCCAAGTTTTTATAAGTTTTGTATATAAAATTTTTAACATTAATTTTTTCACGTTAAAGTTAATATTAAGGTTAGGATTAGGGTTTGGGAAGGGTTTTTGGGTGCGTAGAACATTTTTACTTAGAACACCTCACATCGATTAATTAGACAGTTTTTGAGATAATGTATACATAGGTGTAAAACACCATAGGTGCGTTTTAGTAAAATTCTTGAAATAAATCATGCTTTAACCAAAAAAATGATTATTTTAAAGTTTGATAAGACACTAAGTTAGAGTAAATAGTTTTGAAATTTGCTCAAATATTCAAAAGCTGTAAACAAAGCTCTAGTCATATCAATTTAGTAAATTTTTTACACAATTTACATTTATTTATAAATAAAAAGATCAATTCATAGTAAAACGATCTTACTGAAAATACACTTTTTTTTTTAATCGTCTTAGATACCTTGTTATATAGAGTATAAAAAAAAAGGTTTAAAGAAAAAAACTGCAAGAATAATCTAAATCGCAACAACTAGTGAACAAATAATTGGATACTCAAAATTATTGAAAACAGATATTGCATTATCGAAAAAAAATTTAAAATTTTTTTAATTTCTATTTGAGTGCAGATCATAGGACATGTCCTGTGACTGATAATGAATTGAGATGAGTCTATATCCTAAAATTAAATTAATTTACGAAAAATCGATCCAAATAATAGAATAAAAAATTCATCACCAGAGACGGCTACATCTATCATCGTGTTCTGATTCAGCACCACTTTTTCTCTTTTATTTTATTTTATTTTTTTTTTTTACTTCGGGAGTACGCTTTTTCTTTTATTTATCAATATGTAAAATAAAATAACATACGAACGTGATTAACAGGAATAGTTTATCATAAGCAGATTTAATTCTTTGATAACCAACTAAGCCAGCTTAGCCGTATCTAGGGATGGCATGAGATTTAAATCACGATGATATAAATCACTGATTTTTATTTTAAATCAATTTAAAGCAGATTTAAATCTTCGTTATTACGCTTTGCAAAAAAATATAACCTTTGTAGAACACTATGTTATGTTGCATCGGAGATTCTGTGGATTTAAAAATCTCATTCAAAATAAGAATTTGAATATAAATAATTGAATCACGTCAAATGTTTTAAATCATTTTTAAATCACAAAATTTGATTTAAATCATGATTTTTGCCATCCATAGCCGTATCAAATCATCGACTCAGCTAAACTTATAAATTGTTTTTTAATCAATAATCATCATCATCCTCTTCATCTAAAAGGTCTTCGAGTGCACTTTCGCGTGGTTGTAGTTCGTCATTTTCTTCTAACACATAACGCTTTGTAATTCGTGGCAATATAGTATCACATACTCTGTCTTCACGTAATAGTTCATCAATGAATTCGTCCATGTGTGTAATTATAAATCCACCATCTTAAGGAATGAGAGAAGTTAGTATTATTAAAAATTTTTAAGACATGAAAAATGAATAATGAATTCAATCTACCGATTGTTCGCTTTCTCAACTTTCTATAGTCATTTAATAATGGTTCAAGATATTGATAAATTTCCAGTGACGTTCCAACAAGTCTTAAGTAAAATGCACCAAGAGCTCTCAAATACCTGCATAAAACACAAATAGGCAACTATATCGAATCGGATAATTTTCTTTGACATTTCTGACAACCAATTAATTTAAATAAAGACATACTTATATTCCTCGTTCTTAATAAATTCTATAATAATTTCTTTACTTGGTTGTAATTGTAATAATTTCAGAGTTAAACAAAGAAACTCTGTTGGTTTCTGGTTTCCATATTGACCACCCAACGAAGTTAACGCAACTGCTCTATCGATTAGCGTTTCAGCTATTTTTTTCGAGGATTTGAAAGATTAGTATCAACTAGTAACTAGATCTGATAAGTAAACCATAAAATATTACCTGTTAAACCAAAACATGATTCTTTCCAATAAAGAGATTCGTAGATTCTTGTTCTGATGATTTTTTCGATAAGATATTGGGGATTTGTACCGTGTATTGCTATTGCGTCTGATACTGTGCGATTTGCCATTTTACAAGTTATAATGCTCGTAAAAATTTACAACTGATTTATTTATAATTAATCTGATGGTCAAATTCGATTCATGTGATTCGTGTTGCTAAAAAAAAAATTATGTGACGTCATATAATGAAAATCTAGTTGAATAAGGTTATAAACCAGTTAAAACCAAATCAATCTAGTTTAATTACTTCAGAGCAATGCTTCAGATTATACACCAGATTATACTTTAAAGTAATACTTTAGAGCAATACTTCAGATTATATTTCAGAATATAATACTCTAGTACACGGGAAATATGTTTTTTCTAATGCAGAATTATATATAGTAATTTATTATAAACTTTTTTTTTTTTTTTTTTTTTTTGGTGTTAAGGTGGCCTCTTGGCCGGCTCCTTTTATTCGGTTATAGTTAACTTT